CCCGTCACTATAAAATATAATAAATATATATTATAGAATAAACATTATTATCATATACTATTAAATAAATAAATAAATAAATAAATAAATAAATAAATAAATAAAAGTTAGAAATAGATACAAAAATTAAAAATAAATTAAAAAATAAAGATAAAGAAGAAATAAATAAGGAATATATAAGAAACATATAAGAAATATATAAGAAATATCTAAGGAATAAATAGGAAATAAATAAGAAATAAATAAGAAATAAATAAAAATAAAAATTAAAAAAAATAAATAAAATTAAATAGAAAAATAAATAAAAAATAAATTAAAAAAAAAATAAAAAAATAAATTAAAAAAATAAAAAAAAATCAATAAAAGGAGGGAAAAAGTCGGGAGGGGAAGCGTGGCAGTTTGTTATGCTAACCGAGGGGGGCTCCGCTCGGGGGACGTGTCGGAGAGGTCTGAAGAGCAAGGAGTTCACAGGCCCTCTCCTTTTGTCATGCTAAAAGTGCAACACAGAAAATATATACAGGCAGCTGCTCAATGGAGCGTGAAATACGAGTGATTTCTCCGCCGGCCCCGGGTAATGCGATGCAGCCCCGGGACAATGCCCGGCCGCCGCCTTTGTGCGCCACGGGAAACTTTTAGTTTTTGTTTTGGCGAGGCTTTGGGGAGGGGGGGGGAAATCAACGGCCACCGAAAGGGACGGAGGTGAGAATCCCCCCCCGCCCCCGATCCCGGGATGAGCTGGGATAGCAGCGCGGAGCCGGCTGGGATGGAAATGTTGGAAATGTTCCCTTTTCCAGCAGGTTTTGTTTTGTTTTGTTTTGTTTTTTTGGTGATTTTTTTTTGGGGGGTATTTGGGGACGGCCCGAGCGGGTGAATTTGCGGAGTCCCGCGGCGGGCGCTCCCTTTGCTGATGCTAATCGGGGCAGCGCTGTAAAATCAACCCTCAAAGCGGCTTTTGTGTCCCCGGGGGAGGCCGGCGGGGCTGGGGGTGCTCGGGCATCCATCTTCCACCTTTCCCTCGGGGGTTTTTTGTGGCCCGGCCGAGCTGAAAGCGGCGCTGTGGGGGCTCAGACGCTCCTGGGGCTCCGCATTCGTTCCGGAGGGGACGAGGTGCCGCTTTTTTGGCAAACCTGGGATATTTTGGGGGGTTTTGGGGGGTTTTGGGATGACCCAGGGCATGGAGACGGTGAAGGTGATGGAGCAGGATGCTTCCCCGGGCTCTGCCAGCCGGGACTGCGTGGTTTTAGGGGAATTCGGGGGATTTTTGGCACCGCATCACGTCGGAGGAGGAGGAGCTGCTCTCTGCTGGTGTGGGGAGGTGTTTTGGGGTGCCTCCCACAAAAAGGGGTACCCCAAACCCTCGGGGGATGCTCCGGGCACGGGCGGAAGCGACATCTAGTGGGAAGCGACATCCCGTCTCCAGGGAGATCGATATCCATGGCAACCCCTCGGGAACGGCGAGCCGAGCGCTCGGGGAGCGGCTGGAATCACCGCACATCCCGGCGGGGCACGGCACCGGCACCGGGACTTGGGTCCCGGCACTGGGATTTGGGTCCTGGAGTCGGGATTTGGGTCCCGGCACTGGGATTTGGGTCCCGGCACCGGGATTTGGGGTCCCGGCACTGGGATTTGGGTCCTGGAGTCGGGATTTGGGTCCCGGCACTGGGATTTGGGTCCCGGCACTGGGATTTGGGTCCCGGCACTGGGATTTGGGTCCTGGAGTCGGGATTTGGGTCCCGACACCGGGATTTGGGTCCCGGCACCGGGATTTGGGTCCTGGCACCGAGATTCCGTTTGATTCCTCATTATCCTGTTCTGCTTTAGTTGGTAATAAATGAAATTAATTTCCCCGAGTGGAGTCTGGTCCGTGCGGGTCGGCTGAGGAGGGGGAGTGCAGGAGCTGCTGTGGTGGGTCCCGAGCGTTCCTCCCGGGTTATCCCACGGCGGGGATGAGGGAAGACACGCGGATATGATTTATTATCGATATTATCGATGGCCCGGGAGGGGAACGCTGGCTGGGCACAGCCGGGACTCGAACCCGCGCTCCCGCCTCTCCGGGGAGGCCGCGCCAGCGGAACCGCGCGCCGCGCAGAGCCCGCCCCCCCCACCCACAGCCGCCTTCTCATTGGTCAATAATCTGCCAATTAAAGGGAAAGATAGCGCGGATTGGTTGGAGGGAGGGGGCGTGGCTTTTGGGGGCGTGGCTTCCTGCGGGCGCCTTTGCGCTGACCCCCGGCATGGTGGGCACGGGCCGGGGCTGGACCGGGACCGGGACCGGGACCGGAGCGGGGCTGGAGCGGGGGGTTCCGAGCGGGGCTGCGAGGGGACGGCCCCGGAGAGGGCTCTGAGCGGGGGGCGCATGGCCTGGCTGCCCGGGGGGTGCGCGTCTAGGGGGGGGGGTCCCAGCCCGGGGGTCCCGGGGTGAGCATGGCCGGGGGTCCCAGCCCGGGGGTCTCACGGTGCCCGTGGCCGGGGGTCAGTGCTCGGGGGTCTCACGGTGCCCATGGCCGGGGGTCAGTGCTCGGGGGTCTCACGGTGCCCATGGCCGGGGGTCTCACAGTGACCGTGTCCGGGGGTCCCTCCGCGGGTTTTTCCCACGCGGGGTGTCCTGGCGAGCGTCACCTCCGGGTGTCCCCACCCGGGGCATCCCCCAGCAGGGACAGAGCTGGGGACAGCCTCCAGGCGGGGGTGTCCCCGTGTCCCCCCGTGCCCGCTGAGCCCTCGGTGTCCCCTGGCAGGCCGTGATGGGGGTGCAGGTGGTGGTCACCCTGCTGGCCGCCAGCCTGATGCAGAAGATGGCCCCGCACTGCTCCTTCGCCCGCTGGCTGCTCTGCAATGGCAGGTACGGCTCTGGCCCTGTCCCCAGGGGCGTCCTGGGGACACCCTGCACCCCCTGTGACCCCCCTGGGGACACCCTGCACCCCCTGGGGACACCCCGCACCTGTGACCCCCCTGGGGACACCCTGCACCTGTGACCCCCCTGGGGACACCCCACATCTGTGACACCCCTGGGGACACCCCGCACCTGTGACCCTGCTGGGGACACCCCGTACCCCCTGGGGACACCCTGCACCCCCCTGGGGACACCCCGCACCTGTGACCCCCCTGGGGACACCCCGTACCCCCTGGGGACACCCCGTACCCCCTGGGGACACCCCACACC